TCTACCTATGTGTTATATTTGATAGCAGTGAACCTTAGTTCCTGAACAGTTGTGGGCTAATGGTGAAGTCAGTTTAATTTTCTTCTCGATGTCCTTTTGAACCTGTAACCTGATTTATATCTCATGGAAGTACTTGTTGGGCCCTGGACTGAAACTGATTATTTTCTCTGGTTCTATTTTAAGTGTCCACTCAACATAGAAAGAACCTTCAAAAAGCAAAGGGGGGGGGGCGAAGGAAGATGGGAAGGAGAAGGCATATAGCTTCGTACTGGAAGCTTATATTCCAAAACCTTTGATGACTGAGTGGATCTCCCTCTGTGCTTCCTCCGCCTCCCCACCAGTGGCTCCCTCCTGGCTGCTGTGAGCCCATGACTGGCCCTGCCCAAAGCCCCCTGCCCCGGGGCTACTGTTTTGAACAAGGCAAACTTCATGACCTGCAAAATATTCCTTAGCCACGGATAGTTTAGAGAAACTTGTACATGGTGAGCACTGTGCTTGGGAAAAGGAGTGTGCAGTCAAAGAACTGGTATCAGACATACCATTTACTCCGTGTGTGTGTGTGTGTGTGTGTGTGTGTGGTCATTTTCTCCCGGGAAAGTATCTGTAAGGGTGGGGTTGATGGTCCTCAGCCCCTCCACCTCTTTTCAAGATTGTGGTCATGTGTATGTCCTAATATATTTTGAACTTTTTTTTTTTTTTTTTTACATAGTATAGCCCCGTGTACTAGTATAGTAGGTCTAGTTAAATGTGCTGTTCCTACAGAGGAAGATACTGTTTGTGGCTAAAAATAATTTTCAAACTTCAGAGAGTCAGAAGTAACACATGTAAATCAGTGAGCAATACCCAACCTAAGTTAATGCTACATTGGGAACACCATGTAACCTCACAGCTTGCTAACACGAGGCCTGATAAGTCACTCATTTACAGAATCTTACCTTTGGAAGCGTGTTTGAGACCCAGGCTGAGTGATAATAGCAAGCCTTTTGTTGCTGAGAGGATTTCAGATGTCCCCATTTCCCTCACTTTTACCCCCTCCACCCTGCCTCTGCCCCACCCCAGGCCTCTACCACATGTTGTCTCTGTCCATGGGATATACAGATAGGGTGTCCCCCCAAAAATGTGTACCCACTTTGAATGATTATACAGTCAGTGTTTACTAACGTATAATTCATTTTCTAACTTTAAAAGAATCTACATAAATGAATAATTTGTTCTGTCATTTGCCTGCTTTCAAACTGATGACTGTTCTGGTCCAGGCACTGCTGATAACACAAAGCAGTGGAATCACACACATCAAGAACCATTTCATTTGGTATTTGTGCTCTCTCAATTCATCAGCTATTGCCGATTTTGTATCATAAGCTTTATCTTTCATGTATCCCCATAAGAAATTCTAGTGGATAAATTTTCTGTGTCCAAAGCTTAGTCTGACTTCACCCCTTATTTCAAATCAGTTAAACCTGAAAAGGAGTGAAAATTAAACGAGTTATTAGCTGTCAACGTGTGTTTACATTTTGGGAGATGCCCTGTGTGCCCCCAAAATGTGTACACACTGAATAATTGTAAAGGCAGTGTTTGTATTTCAACTCTTGTTTTCAAATGTCCAGTAGCATTTTAGGAAGAATTTCCTTTGTTCAAAGCTTAGTCTGTCTGAAAAGAAGCACCAATTGAGCTATTATTTATTAAAGTGTGTATACATGTTTTTGGGACACCCTGCATATGCATGTAAGTTCTTTGGTTAATCTCTTCATACCAAGTCTTAATTGGCAAAAGCTGGTGTCTATACTGGCTGGCTGAAGGAATAAGATGTTAAAAATTTCGAGTTGTTAGGGAAATTTAAAAATGATCCAGTCTCCAAAAAATGTCAAATGGCACTTACTTTTTAGAGTTTTTTAAAATAAAGTCATAGTTAAAATGGTGTGAGAGTGTGTGTGTGTGTGTGTGTGTGTGTGTGTGTGTGTGAGAACTTGAAGGCAACTGGGTTAATTGAAGTGGGAGTTTGGATTTTGGGAGCCGGAATTTTGCACAGCCTATCATCTGTGTCAGAACCAGCTTTCCTTTGCTGGAGACTGAGGGGCTGCCCCCCTGGTGTGCTCCTGAGGCCACGCAGGGAAGCTGGAGAGGTGGGTCTGGATCTGCCCTGTGGGATCTGCTGTAGGACCTGATGGTGCCTGCGCCGTGATGCAAGGACACTGCCTGGGCTTCGAGCCATGTGGGTGGAGCCGGTCTTGGATCCCGGGAGGAGGATTCTTGTGAAGTGGGGCAGTCGGGCAGTCTTAGTGGAGTATCTTTGTTGGAGGGCAGTGGCCTCAGAGCTTCTGGCTTCAGGGCCCCGGGGAGTGTGGATATCGGAATGCTAAGTGCTTCACAGGAATACACTAATGTACTAATGAGACTATTGCTCATTAATGGCAATTAATTATTGCTGACGAATGGGGTTTCATGTCCTTAACATTGATAATGTAGCAATGGTGAACTTCATGTGGGCAGTGGAGAGTCTCCTGCTCACAAATATATCGTAGCTTGTAATATCGTGCTTTTGAAGCAGCGCCCCTGTCTGGGCCTTCTCCTCTCAGCCACTGTTTCTGCAGCTGGACCTTTCTACCCACCCACTCTCCTGCTCGCCGCCAGGGCCCGGCATGCCAGGCGTCAGGGCCTGGGCGCTGTAGCTGTCTGGTGAGAACTGGGCCTTCAGCCTGTTCCTTCAGCCCGGGAGCCCTGCCAGGCCGGCCCTGCTTCTGGGCTGTCGCTTGCCACAGGAAGTAGGGAAGTCCCTTGTCTGTGTTCCCACAGCTCGAGGTCCGGGTGAGGACTCAGGTCCTTGGGGGTTTGATTCTGAAGTGCATGCTACTTAGGGGGAACACATCACGTTGACGTTAGTTTTCACCTTAAGGATATGTACTCCAGAATAAAACAGACAACTCCAAAACCAAATAAGTCACCCCTACCCCAGCCTGTAACTTGGATATTGGCACGGCCTGGGGACCTAATTAGTTATAGCATATCTGTGGGAAAGGCATCTGAGCCCTAAATACTGGCATTATAAAGAAGGTTTTTAACACATGCACAACGGACTAACAGGGTTGCAATGAGTAATTAATTACCATGAGTAGCAATCATCCCATTAAGTGTGTTCCTGTGAAGCGCTTAGCAGAGCCCATGACATACAGTACCCTTCAGCAAATGCTGGTTGCTGCTATTACCACCGGCAGCAGCATTTTTTAGGGTAGAAAGTTGTACTTGCTATCCTGATGCTCCTATGAACAGGGGGAGGGGGAGGAGCTTTTTTTTTTAATGGATCATACAGTGAGGGCTGTGATGGATTCCAAACAGATGGGAGATGAGTATTAATACTTGAAAATGCTGGGAATCACGACAGACTCTCAAAAGGTATGCCGGGCCTGTCACAAGTAAATTCACACTTGAGTTGGAGACAGAATACCAACAATCCCGAACTAATAGCAGTGAGGTGACAGGCGGTGTCTCTGACCACAGCTGGAAGGGGGGTGTGTTCATTTGCTCACCCATTGAATCGGCAAACCTTTATTGAGCACGTAGCACGTGCCAGGCGTGGTGCTGTTCAGAAAAGAGATCCTGGTGGTAGGTACTTGTTAACAGAGAGGCTTCAGCGTGCAGAAGGGATTTTTAAATAGAAAGACAAGACAGGAATGGCAAGTCCTGACTGGAACAGCAGGAGCAAGAAGACAGTTTTAGGATTGGGGCAGAATGCCCTGCAGTCACAGCGAGGAAGTTGTTTTGTCTCCTTAGCCTTAAGGAGCAGTGTAAAAATAAGCAAAACCCCTTCGGACCTTTGACCCCAGACAGCAGGCTCCATGGAGCTAATGTCCGGCCTGCTGATTAAGAGTGTGTGTCTTCCTGGTATGTGGAGGAGACAGCATACACCAGACGCTGGGTTCTAAATGCACTCTGACCCCACGCACTCCCACTGAAGTGGATCCAGATGGGGACACAGAGGGGTCAGAGACATGGCCCTTGTTCTCAAGGACACAGCCCGCGTCCTTGGTGAACATCACCTATGGCTCAGGGCCTTGAAATTGGAAGTGGCTATTTATAGAAGCAACAGAGGGTGCATACAGGTGGGGCAAAAGTAGGTTTACAGTTGTTTGTATGGAAAAGAACACAATGTTTAGTAAAAAATACAAGAATCAACTGTTTCACATGCTCATAACTGTAAACCTACTTTTGCCCTGCCCTATATTGGCTGTATTTCTTCATCCTTTTCCTCCTCTTCTGCCTAGACATTCTTTGTGCCCATTTTCTTCCTTAGAGGTTAAATTTTAATTCTGCAATCATGTGATCTTTCCCACATGAGTGTTTTTCTTGCGTTGTTTACCTAGCAGCTTTCCAGTCTACACCACTCCAGGAATAAAGTCCAGTCAGCCTCTCGGGATGGTCCTGAACAGATGTTACAAAGCTTAATGCTAACGGCCAACTTCTCTGCTTGACTCTGTCACTGCATTTTTGTCTTTATATTTGTCTCCTGCATCTTTTCTGCATGAACCATGGTGCTGCCTGTCTACCCTCCCCCCCAATCCCCCTACCAGATGTTAATTTGGAAAAATTATTGAAATAGTCAAAGAAATGTAATAAGATACAAGTTCTTTTGTGAGCAATTCATCGATGTTAAAAAAAAAAAGAGAGAGAGAGAGAGAGAGAGAGAGAGAGGCAACAGCATCTCCAAATCACAGATATACCATTAACTCCAGATATGTTTAGACAGCTTTTTTATTATCTTCTTATCAGCGTTCTTTTTCCTCTCGTGTAGAATAATTTAGCAGTTTATATCCCCTATTAAGCAACATTCTTCTAATTTACCAAAATACATTGTATGAAGCAGACTTTGATAAAAATCTGAAAACATTCCCTTGGTGGTGGGGAGGGCTGTGTGTGTGTGTGTGTGTGTGTGTGTGTGTGTGTGAATTCTCAGCAGCCCCAGTGATGTCTGGCAGCCTTCAAAGTCTTTTGGTCTCTCATTTCAGCCACGATTACAAGTTCATCCGAAAATGATGACCGGAGTGGCTCCAGTTTGGAATGGAATAAGGACGGAAGCCTAAGGTTAGGGGTGCAGAAGGGAGTGCTCCATGATCGGAGGGCAGATAATTGTTCCCCAGTGGCGGAAGAGGAGCCGGCTGGGTCAGCAGAGAGCGTGCTGCCCACAGCTGAAGCCCCCGGAGGAGATGGTCCAGTCCCTTACTCCCAGAGCTCCAGCTCGCTAATAATGCCACGGCCCAACTCAGTTGCAGGTAAGGCCACGCTTCTCCTCAGGAGGGTTATCTGGCTGGGCCTGAGGTGTCCGAGGTCGCTCTCTTCCCTTGGGAATCCAATCCAGACACCAGCCGCTTTGTGATCCGGGATCAGGCGCCTAACCTTTCCTAGCCCTCCAGTTTACCCCGGCGGGAACATGATCAGGCTCCACTGGATGGGCTTTAAGGGATCCTACGGCTCTGGAAGTCCCCCCAAAAAGTATACCCACTTTAACAGCTGATAGTTCAGTTTTGAAAAGGAGTTGTGTTTTTAATAAGCGCTGCCTTTATAATTATTCAAGGTGTGTGCATATACATTTTTGGGGGGCACACCCTATATTTAGACTCTCTTCCCCCTCAAAGAGCCATACAGTACCAAAAATTCTGTCCTTGTTTTTGTCATTTGAAGCCTGAGTAAATTCACGGCTTTGTATTACCTCTCGGTAAACAGGAATCATACTTCAGGGTGAGTTTGTGAACATCCGTGCAAATAATTTCTAACCCAACTTCCGAAGTTAGCCTCTACCATTGAGGCCCATCATCCAGATGTGGGGGCAGCTTCTGTGTAATTCTGCAGTAAGGGATCTCACAGCTTACTCCGTGAGCAGCGGAAGTGAGGGCTCTCGGTGGAGGAAATGGAAGCAGGCACCCTGGGGCAGCCGGAGCTCAGAAGGCATACACAGGTGGTGACTTGCTGCAGGCCTGGCCAGTGGGTGGTTGCAAGTGAGGAGTGAAGGGTTGGGGTGGGGAGAGGAACTCTGCGTCTGAGCTGACATGCCTGCTTTCATGTCCTGAGTTTCTAAACGCGGTGCCCTTGGGTTGAACTCAGAAGAGGAACTTGTTTCAGTCGTTCTTTGTTGCCGACACAATGCTTAAAACTTCTCCTCGGCTGATGTGTGCACCCAGGTCCTCCCTTCCTACATCAAAGGCTTTTCCTGCGATTTTTACTGCTCCTTCAGGATGTGGCAGGTCACTCTGGTTGTTGTTGGGTGCCTTGTTGTATGTGTGTTTTTTTTTAACAACGAAACTCTGAAACAGCTTGATAAATAAATTGCCCTAATGGAAAAGTTCTGAGACACAACTCTAATTCGCTTTCAAAGGACACAAAGTGGCCTTATTCCAGGAGGGAGGCTTGGCATGTCTGCCAGAGCGCGGTACCGGAGGGTTTATGCATATTTGAGTGATGGTTCTTCCAAAGGCTTTCCTGTCTTCCCACCGCCATCCTGCTACCTACGGTGTAATATGTTGTCCCCCCGGCATTTTAGACCGATTTGCCTAGTTACAGTAAATGCTTCATTTGTGTTATTCCAGAACTTGATGGTTTTATTGACTTCGACAACATAGCAAACTTGTATTCAGTTTCATGGAGCTATTTTAAAATAAAGGGAAACATTAATAAATTAAGTCGACGGTGTTAAAAGGCCCCCACCCCTCGTCTGGGGTGATGTGCCTGCTTGATGTTCTTTTACGGGTGCTCCCGCCCTGTGAAGTGACAGTGGGTGTGAGCTGAGCTTTTCCAGGCGTCGGCAGTGATTACGGAGCAGGGCTGTCTGGTTGCTGCTCTGTTCATTCATTAGCCTGGACATATGCACTTGAGCAAGACCTCCTGTGGAACTGGGAGGGTTTTGCACTCTGGGTTTGAGCAGTGACTGCCTGGCCTAATAGGTTTGCTTGTTTGGTCTGCATTGTATATTTTTTAAACTGAAAGCATGTTTTTTAAAGGAAATAGGCAAGTGCCTTCCAGCATAGTAAGTGTTGGCAAGCTGGGCACCTGGTAGATTTTCCATTGCCCACCCTCCTATCCCTAACGCTGAGCCTCAGTGAGGAGGGAATGGCAGGATCTATCAGGTATCGTTGAAAAGAGCAGAAGATTCAGGTGGTCTGTACTTCCTGCAGCACTGTCTAATGATTAGAAGACAAGCTGCTACAACAGGGAGTAGGCGACACTCAGCGTTTGAAGGGTGACAGTAATACATGAGGGACCCTATATTGCAGTCTTGAAGTATTTGCATGTAAGACCCATATAAACGTAAATTCCATTTGCTAGGAAACATCCAGTGATTGAATGTGATGTATGCAGAGTAAGGACCAACGGGTGGAGGAAGGGGGATGCTGACCTCAAGGCACCTGGTCCCCGAGTTCCTCTCCCCACTCCCCAGGGGTCTCGGGGATGGAAACAGATGCCCCAGATTGCCAGCTCTTCTTGTCGTCGGGCCTGTTGCAAAGCACTGTGGTGGTCTGCTCACCATTACCCATCTAGCACAGTAACATTTTTATGTCAAGGGTTATAAAAACAAGTTGGCTAGGTTTGGAGATTGTCTCACTACACAGAGATTGTCTCTGTAAACGATTTGTTGGCGTGGAATTGGTTTGCAGTCCTGTAGTCAGGTTCTTACTGTATATCACATCAAATGTACACCCTATATTTAATAAAGAAGTAAGAGAACAGACACCTTAAAACACGGAATGAGAAACTTTAAGGTATTTCTTAGATCATTTAGAATTTGGGTAATTAGGGGCTACTGTTTTTTACTACTTTTCTTATCTCCCCCCCCCCCCTTTTCAAATATATTTTATTGATTTTTTTTTACAGAGAGGAAGGGAGAGGGACAGAGAGTTAGAAACATCAATGATAGAAACATCGACCAACTGCCTCTTGTACATCCCCTACTGGGGATGTGCCCGCAACCAAGGTACATGCCCTTGACTGGAATCGAACCTAGGACCCTTAAATCTGCAGACTGATGCTCTATCACTGAGCCAAAAGGTCTTTGGCTTATCCCCCTTTTGAAATATTTCCTAGGTGGATCAGGGAACACTGTTTAGTTTTCAAGGAAACCAACAAACATCATTACCTGCCAATTTTCTTAAAACTCGAACTGATAATGGCCTGGACTTAATGGCCTTTACCTTTAATAGGTTAGTCCATGATGTTTCAACAGATGCTTCTCTTTGCTCAGCTTGGATGAGCTTTCCTCTGCTCCTCCTTCCACTCCACCCACTTCCCCTCTCTCCACCCCGCCCAGTAAAACCTCTTTCCTGCAGCCTGTGCCAGTGTACTCCTCACCCAGGTGCTGGGCGCGGTGTGTGTGCGAGAAGCGTGTAATTAGTTTAATTGTAGAGATATTAGTAGGTTTACTGCAGCATGAAGTTACCGCTTTGCCTCGGATTTTTCTCAGCCCTGAACAGTGTTTAGGATTTTGAAAGCATGTAGTGTTAAGTACCAGGAAATGAGTCTGCCTCCTGTCTTCGTAATGCCTGGGAATCTACGGTAGGCACGAGTGAGAAGGCAGAGTGGGATCTGCCGGGAGGCCGAGGCTTCCCTGCCTCCACCCTCCCCTCTCTCTGTGCCGTTGACACCTCAGGAAGCGGAGGCAGCCAGCAGCTGGTGGCTTGCAGCCCTGCTGAGGGGTGGCCCATTTCAATGCAACTTTCTGGTGTTTGAGTAATGGCTGACAGCGCTGTGGAGTTCCGGGGGCCCACTGTTGTGTACTTTGGAGCTGAAAGTGCAGCGACTGGAAATCTGAAAACGCATTTGAAATTTCATCTCCTGCCTGGGTGTCAAACAAGGGCTTCGTTTATAATCCTTTACAGCCTCATAGTCTTTTTTTTTTTTTTTTTTTTTCTTGATTGATTTTTTACAGAGAGGAAGGGAGAGGGAGAGAGAGTTAGAAACTTCGATGGGAGAGAATCATTGATCAGCCGCCTCCCGCCCACCGCCCACTGGGGTGTGCCCACAACTAAGGTACGTGCCCCCGACCGGAATCGAACCTGGGACTCTTCAGTCCCCAGACAGATGCTCTATCCACTGAGCCAAACCAGTCTCAGCTACAGTCTCATGTTCTTAATCCTCTCGGTTGTCACAGAGCTATAAACCGAATGTCTTGTGTTATATATATGTATATATATTTTATTTTTTTATTTATTTTTTATTTTATTTTTTTAATATATTTTATTGATTTTGTACAGAGAGGAAGGGAGAGAGATAGAGAGCTAGAAACATTGATGAGAGAGAGTCATCGATCACAGCTGCCTCTTGCACACCCCCTACTGGGGATATGCCCGCAACCAAGGTACATGCCCTTGACCGGAATCGAACCCTGGTCCCTTCAGTTGCCAAGCCAACGCTCTATCCACTGAACCAAACCGGTTCTGGCTATTTTTTTTTTTTAATTGATTTCAGAGAGGAAAGGACAGGGAAAGAGAGATGGAAACATCATTGATGATAGAGAATCATTGATCTGCTGCCTCCTGCATGCCACCCACTAGGGATTGAGCCCACAAACCAGGCATGTGCCCTGAAGGGGAATCGAACTGTGACCTCCTGATTCATAGATTGATGCTCAACCACTGAGCCACGCTGGCCGAGCTGAATGTCATGGGTTACGGGGTCAGGAAGAAGGGAAGCGAGGCCCTGGCGAGGCTCCCAGTATCTCTGTGCTCGCCAGAGCTGCGGCAGCAGGTCCAGCATTTGTGGCTGTTCCCATTGGTGACCCGGCTCATGGGTTACACTGCCGGCTGTCCCTTCAGCCGCAGCCTGGGACGCGTGGGGGTCCTCGGGTGAGGCACGCTGAGGAGAGCGCCATTTGCCAAGGCCCAGGTCCCAGGCAGGAGCCTGCCGTTATGTTCCACGCTGGATCATCATAGGAAGCCAGGGTGACGGGTGTGGTCCTGGTGGCCCACCACCGCCTGGTGAAGAAACTAGAAGTTGCCATTGGATTCCCGTAACCTCGGTCCATTTGGAGGTTCTGATGAGGAGGTAGCGGACTCTCTGTAACAGGAAGGACTGCGTGAAGCCCTGATGTGAATGTGCTCACGGTGTGGATAGGCACTGAGACGGTGCAGAAGCAAAGTGTCTGCTCTGGTGAGGTCAGTGTCAGGTGTGTCTCCACGGACTGGGAAGGGGAGCAGGCACACTGTCACAGAGCCCAGCCATGGAGCCGGCTGGGTGGTGGTTGACTGAAGGAGAGGGTGGGGCTGACGCTGAGGGAGGAGAGGACTGAGGCCTCAGAAGGGGAAATCGGAAGGGCCCACGTCAGGCAGGGGGTGCCGGGGGTGTCAGAGCCAGAGGATACAGCATAGGGCGGCCCTACCTGACTTCTGTCCCTTGAAGCTTGGTCCCGCTGGTGGCTTCCCCAGTCCTTAGGAGCCTTATCCCTTGGAATGTAACTCCCCCTCCCTCCTCGTCAGCCTCAGATGACATCTGTGTTCTGTTGTCCTGGATGATCATCATATGTCTAAGAGCAGCAGGGCTTTGTATGGGGCCACTCATTTCACAAACCAAATTAGGTTAATTTCATTTAGATTTCCTTATTGTGACCTAGACATGCAATTCAGAGGAGATTTTTTTTTGAGAAAGAAAAACAACACTGTATATTTGCTTTTATGATTTGCTGAGGATTAGTAGAATTATTTGCATTAATTGTTTTTATAATCCAACTGGAATAAACCCTAAGTCCATTTTAAAGGTACCTATGTGCTGCGAATCTTACAGAGGGAAATGTGATTAGTTCTCTTTAGAATTTAAAAAAGTACATACATATGTAGTCTATCTATATATATGAAAGCCTAAGCAACAGGAAGGCCGGCCCATCATTATGATGCACACTGACCCCCAGGGGGCAAACACTCAATGCGGGAGCTGCCCCTGGTGGTCAGTGCGCTCCCACAAAGGGAGCACTGCTCAGCTGACCCACGAGTGCCAGATGCCGGGCTCATGGCTGGCAAGCACAGCTGCAGCTGTGCAAGTCTCTCCTGCAGACACTCCCCCTGCGTGCCTGAGTGGCAGCAGGTGCAGTGGGCAGGGAGGAGCAGGCGCTGCATGGTGCCCAGCCTGGGCCCGGGCTCCCTCCCTGGCCACCTGCCACTTCACGCACGACATTGAGCTGTATGGGATCGAGATGGACAGTGGGCTGCAGTCCAACAAGCTGGCAGTAAGGCCAGGCTGTGGTGGTGCAGAGGTCCACTGATCCCTGCAGGCCAGGCCAAGGGACCCCGTGCCAGTGCACAAATCCAAGCACCGCGCCTCCAGTATTATATAATGTAATCTATAGATATACGTATATATTGGTGTGTGTATAGATAACATATGCACACTTTTGAAGTTTAGGAATTTGTTTATTTCCAGTGAAAGGCTACTTTTACTGCCAGGAGCTGACTTTCGGGTTGCGAACACGGTGGAAGTGTATGGGCAGTCTGCTTGGTTAACGCCGTTGGAATTCTAGCAGCCTCAGGGTTCTCTGGGCCGCGCTGTGTGTTTGCAGTAGGACTGGGATTTTGCGGAGTGACACTTGATTGTCAGATGTCTTCATAAACATTTATGGTGAAATGCGTCATTTTCCAGGAATCCCGGAGATTTTAGCAACTCTATCAACATGACTTTCGTTTAAGAATGAGGAGCACTTGGTGTTTTTTTCGTTTTGTTTTTTGTTTGTTTGTTTTTGACATTTTTTGGTAGCATCACTAGAAAGATAAATTGATTTGGGTAGACAAAATCAAAATCACCTTGAAGTAAATATTGTTGGACGCCCGAGTGGAATTGTTTAGTAATTTATAATTCTAGTAGTTTAGGTATGATATGAAACTCAACGTTGAAGAGACTAAACTTCCGCTTCATGTTACAGCGACGAGCTCAACCAAATTGGAAGATCTGAGCTATTTAGACGGGCAGAGAAATGCTCCTCTTCGGACGTCCATTAGATTACCGTGGCACAGCACGGCCGGAGGTAGGGCGCAGGAAGTCAGAGGTATTTATCCTTGCATCGCTGTCCCTGTGGGTAGGAGCTCATCGACGAAGCACGGAAAATCCGTGATAGCCAGCAGTTAAACATGCTGTCGGGGGGTGGGATGTAGGGGGGAGGGAAGGAGGCTGTTAAAAGTTTATGTGGAAGATGTGCTGGGGGCCTTCCTTAATAATTTTATAATTCTTAAAATAGATTAACTCCCTTCTGGAGTTGAAAAATAATTCTGCAGCATGTTATTTTGAAGTGAGGGGTAGTCTAACACTCTTAATTTTTTAATTTTTATTTTTTTATCCTCAACCAAGAATCGACTTTGTTTCACTTTTTTTGGGTGGTATTGGCCACCTCCTGCATCTACCCATAATGCACAGGTGTGTGGTCAATAGCACGGCCAAAAGGGGCAAAGCACCACGACCCCAGGTGAGAAAGAGCTGGGCCCTATCGCTAGGGAAAACGCATTTCCATTTTACTCACACAGCATTGGAAGAAATGTGTCTTAAATATTGTTTGAGCTAAACCGATGGGCCGTGGTGTGGCTCTTGGAATCACTTCCTCTAATTCTCAGTGTGCCGGCCTTGAGTCATGAGAATACGTTAGAGGCATAAAAGGACCAGAAAGTCTTTTTAATAGGATACGCTGTAGTGACAGTAGTGCATGATAAATGTAGTATTTCAGGAGTATTCATAGGATCAGATGGGAAATACAGACAGCTTTTGGGGTAAAACTGTAGGCTGCGTATACTAAGTGTAACGTATATGCAATGATAAAGTGAGGTGTTTTTTTTTTGTGTTTGTTTGTTTTTTACTGTATACAATTATGGCGTTCTTCTGAAATAACTTTTCTTTTTTCTTCCCGCAGCACGATTTGCTCCCTACAAGCCGCAAGATATCTTGCTGAAGCCCCTGCTGTTTGAAGTACCGAGCATCACCACCGACTCCGTGTTTGTGGGGAGGGAGTGGCTCTTCCAGCAGATAGAGCAGAGCCTGCGGAACCCGGAGCAGGCGGAGAACCGCGGGGCAGTGGTGGTGGGGAGCGTGGGCTTCGGGAAGACGGCGATCATTTCCAAGCTGGTGGCGCTGAGCTGCCACGGAAGCCGCATGAGGCAGATTGCTTCCAACAGCCCCGGCTCGTCACCTAAAAGTAAGTCTGAGTTCAACTACTTGCTGGCTTATTATATTAATACCCGATAGATGGAGGACGTTGCTGCTTGGATAGACATACATTCCCGGCTTCCTAAGTTTTCCCAGCTGTTCTGTCAGGCTTGCGATCGTGTGTTGAACTGTTTGGGTGTCCGTCTGTCCGTCACAGAGCTTGTGTCACTGTGGCCTCTGCCTTGAGGCAGACCTTCCCCGTTGCCTCCCCACTGCAAAGCATGCCTCCCTCTTTCTGTGAGCAGAAACGAGGCCCCATCAAGTGCCTGGGGAATTGGGGTCCTAAAACCGAGGTGGGGAGGCTCCTGGCAGGACAAGCCAGAAGGAGTCGGTGCAGCATGCTTTTGCGCCCTGTGCTCTGCCTTTGTCTTCCGTGCTGGATTCACCAAAAATGTAAGAGTCAACTTAGAAATGGGATGGAGTGTCCAAAGATGTGACTGTTTATGGCTTATTTTATGCGTCATAAACACATGAAAATGTCTCCAGCATAGTGAACCAGGAACAAGTGAGCCATGCAAGATTTTTTTTAAAAAAAAAACACAAAAATCATCTAATAAAAGAATTGAGAAACCAGTTTTCCAACTGGTAGGTGGGAGACAGGACTGAGAGGGGACAGGTGTTCTCATGTGCACCTTCGTTCACTCATTAAGCTCTAGGTCTCTAATCAAGAAATACGTTCAGTGTCCCACCATGCATACCCCCATTCTGTTGTTGTAAAGGATGGAATTGGTCTCTTTCCTCTGTAGCTTCAGATTCCTCCCCGGATCTTCCATTCACTCCACTGCTCTCACCGAGTACTTCTCCCGGTGGTACCACCACAGCCAAAACGCCTGCTGGGTTGGGATCTGACTCTTCTGAAAACCAGAGACCGAGAGAGGATGCAGCAAAACACCTCGCATCCAAGGTAATGTGCATCCAAAATTCCTCGTGTCCAAGGTAATGTGCTCATGGTCTGTGAGAATGTGCAGAGAGAGAGAGAGTTGGGCTTCTGAAAAATGAATTATAAAAGGGATCTTGAAAAAGAGACAGCAGTGGCTTAATGCAAAAGTACAGCTTTGGATAAAATTGTGACAGAGTTCTGCAAGTGAAAGATATTAATGAAAATAAATAGCTTCAGACATTGGCAGTGGACTTGTATGCATCTTAACGGATGGACTGAAAACTCCTCGATCAGCAGGCGGTCTTCCTGCACCTCCACACACCCGCCCTTACAGCTGGAAGGAGAGCAGGAGGTTGGGAGCCTACGCTCTGTTGCCCGGGGCCCCTGTCTCTCTCTGTCAGGGATTCCTTGTGAGGTTGTAAAAGAGACTTGGCTGGCCTTTCCTTTCTACATTCGTGGTCGGCAAGATCCTTCTGAAATTTTCCATCTGCTGAGCTTCCATCACGGGTTCATAAGCCACCCTCCTGCGTTAAATCTGTTATATCTCACTCCTGGGGAGCCGTGTGGGTCTCCCCAGCAGCAGTGGTGTGAGACAGTGGAACTGAAGAACCACCGGGAGTGGGCGTGATAGGGGCTTCTAGTGAGGAAAACCCGGGCTGGGCCAGGAGGTAGGTACAGGGGCTGAAAGGAGTGCTTCTCCGCCCCAGATCCCTGCTCCTCACTTTGCATGGCTGGCATTGGCAGCCAAGAGGACTTCGTCCCCGTGTGAGCGTGAAAGGGACCCCTCCTCCTCCTCTGAAAGCTCAGGCGGGAACCAACCCCTCTGTCCTCTCACGGGACGGGCAGGAATTGGGTGATTTCTGACTTTGTCCCCGCTGAACTTCCCCAGGGTCCCTTGTGGTGTGGATGTGAAGAGGGTGAGGTGACGCTGACGGTCTGCTTCTCCCTCCGCAGGTGGTGGCCTACCACTACTGCCAGGCGGACAACACGTACACGTGCCTGGTGCCCGAGTTCGTGCACAGCATCGCGGCGCTGCTGTGCCGGTCCCATCGGCTGGCCGCCTACAGGGACCTGCTGATCAGGGAGCCCCAGCTGCAGAGCATGCTGAGCCTCCGGTCCTGTGTGCAGGACCCCGTGGCTGCCTTCAAGAGGGGAGTGCTGGAGCCGCTCACAAGCCTGAGAAACGGTACCTCCAGCAGCCCCCCCCCCAGAGCCCTCAGGGCCGTCCTCAGAAGGAGGGGTTAGCGTGTTCCTGTGGCGGGAGCGAGATGGTGCAGGGAGAGGGTGTGGGTGGTTTGCATCCCCTTCCTCAGAGCCATCTCCCTGAGGCCCCTCCCAAACAGTGTAGTTTTGAAGGTATTACACATGTGCCCCCTTTTTTCTCATTTACCCCTTCTAGCGCGCCCCCTCTCCCCCCAGGCCTTAACTACCCTGTTGTCTGTGTCCATGGCTTATGCATCAGTGCATGCAAGTTCTTGGTGGATCTCTTCCTACCCACCCTCAGAGCAGTCTGCCGCAGTCTGTTCCATGCTGCTGTGTCTCAGGACCTATTTTGTTCATCTGTTTATTTTGTTCATTGGATTCCACATTTGAGTGAAATTATGTGATACTTGTCTTTCTCTGACTGGCTTATTTTGCTTAGCATAATATTCTCCAAATGGTGTTGTTTTAAATGAAGCACCTCTAACAAGTAACTCCCCAACGGACACATTTCCAAAGCAGCTAATTGGTGCCTGTAGATCCTGTAGCCTCTCCAGGCACTGCTGCCTGCCAGGTTTGCACTCCCGCCTAGCAGGGGCAAGGTCATTGTTTAGGCCAGTGGTCGGCAAATTCATTAGTCAACAGAGCCAAATATCAATAGTCCATTGATTGAAATTTCTTTTGAGACCCAAATTTTTAAACTTAAACTATATAGGTAGGTACATTGTTATTAACTTAATAAGGGCACGTGGTATTTTGTGGAAGAGCCACACTCAAGGGGCCAAAGAGCTGCATGTGACTCTCGAACCTCGGTTTGCCGACCACTGGTTTAGGGAGATTACCAGCATGTTTTGTTCAGGGCCTCTGCTCAGGTGAGTTGAGCCTGAAGCCATTTCTGGAAGTCTGACCTTGTTGCCCTTGAATATTTTACAAGGTTGGGGCATTAGTGCTATTACTGGCCCTTCATTTTTTCATCCTCCCTCCTCCTCATCGTTTGAGCCAGTTTACTGCCTTCACAGCACTTCCTCCAAAAGGTGCTGGGGAGAGGGCATTGGAGCCGATGCCATGGTTTTCCCTCCGTTCCCTGGGCAGAAAGTTGGTGCTGATCAATAGGGAACGAGATGTAGGTTTGGAGGAGAGCGCTCACTCCTGGCTAGCTGTGTGCCTTGGGCTGGATGCTTCGCCCTTTGGGGGTCAGTCCTTTCCCAGAAATCCACTGGGGGTGTTCTGTCAGCGAGGGAGGGGGCCTGAGGGTCTTTTCCAGATTCCCTCTGTGTATGTCATCTTCGCTGTCTCACCCAGAGACAGCCGCTTACGAAGAGCGAACTGCATCATATACTCGGGCGACATTCTGCCACGTGTGTGTAATGCAATCTGTTTCTGGAAACCGTTCTGTGAGAAGTGGTTTTCTTTTTGGCTCGGCGCTCCGGTTTTCATTATAAGTTTAATAGGCAATATGCTTCCATGCAAACCATTTCTCCTGCCATATGGAGACCTCTCCAGTTTTTCCCAACACTCTACGCGGTGCGTTACAGTACACTGGGTGGTGCCATCATATAGAAATGTATACTTTCTTAATTAAAAAACATTTTATCTTTCAGAGCAGAAAATTCCTGAAGAAGAATACATTATCCTGATCGATGGCCTAAATGAAGCCGAGTTTCATAAACCTGATTATGGAGACACGCTTTCTTCATTTATTACCAAAATTATCTCTAAGTTTCCTGCCTGGTTGAAGTTGATTGTGACTGTAAGAGCAAATTTTCAGGTAAAAAAAAAAAAAAAAGAATTTTTGACTCTTTTTCCAAGTCCTTATTCTCAAATGTTAAAGTGACGAATGCTAACAATTTAAACGGTTGTGGACTATTTAGCTGCTGAATTGAAAACTGTATTAAGACTTTATGAAATATTAGTCACAGAGCCCCAAATGGGCAAAACTCTGACCTTTTTGCCCTCCCCTCCCCCGCCCAAGGCACATTTATCACCGTGTCAGGTAAGTTCCCATTTGCACGGAGCTGCGCTTGTCCTTGTGCACGGAGTGTCCAGCCCTGGTTCACCACGGCCCGTGAGAGCTGGGTGAGGTGTCTGGCAAGCAGGTCTCACAGAAGGTGCAGTTATTCCTCCCCTGCTATGCAGTGGGACGTGTGTGTGTGTGTGTGTGTGTGTGTGTGTTTGTATGAAAAAAAGGGAGGGATGAGGAAGGGGATTTTTAAGACCTCTTCTGAGAGAAGGCCTATCCCCTCCCCACCCCGAATGAGGTAACATTTGCAGGGAGGGGAAGAGTGATTTTTTAGAATTCTCTTCCTTGTGTTTCCCCTCACTTGAACCCTACAAGTGCATCTCAACAGCCATTTAGGAAAGACATTAGATGTTTGCCCTTTTATGACGCTGTTTATTTTACAAGAGCATTTGGGTTCTTCCTTTTCTCATCAAAAGTGGCGTTAGACCTTGGTTGAACTTGATGTGCTGTTCGTGGGAATTGGGTCCATACCCTTCCGAGTCATGCAGAACCTGGCCGTCGGCGGGCATGGGCGGAGCGTTGCCCGGGGTTCTGCTAGCATGCACGTGACATGGGGGCGACTTTGCTCCTCCTGCCTCCCAGACTCACTACATTCCCTGAGGAGATGTGCTCACGTACTTCAGAAACGACAGTGGGAAATTAAAGAAAACCCACCAAACTCTCCTCCGCTGTGCATGGTCAGGATGTGCTTCCCTCGGGGCTGGGAGAGAGGGTCGGGGACCAGGGGCTTCCAGGGCGCTGGTGCTCTGAGCTTCTGGACCAGGTGTGCTTGACTTTGTGAACATGAATGACACTGGGCAATGATGATGACAATTCGTGCACTTCTGGATGTACCGCTTCCATTTAAAAATTTATTAAAAACCAACAAGTTGAGAAAGCGACCAGGGGCTGTGCTAGGGTAGGGCCCTGCGTGTGGGCAGGCCTCACTGCCGGGAGGCAGCTTCGGGTTTCCTGGTTCAGGCTCCCAGCCCTGGCCTCTGCAGGAGTGGGATGCCTCTTATCTCAGGGTCTGGCCGTGTTCTGTGAAGTACAGTGGCGGCTATGTTCGTCCCGTTATGTAACCAGTTGCACAATGTAAGGATGACGGGTGTCAGGTCCACTCGGGCCTCAGGGCCCCTTTGTGGGTCTGGCCTCTTGCCTCCCGCTGGGCTCCGAATTTGCGAATCTCAGGAAAGCCTTTACTGATTCCATCTCACATCAGGATTTCTTTCACCTAAGCTCTTTATCTTCAACTTATCCTATTACACGTTTTAATACGAAATAATGAGTCCCTGTAATCCATGCAAATCCCCCCTTGAAAGAAAACGAGGGAATCGGGTTTGAAATGCAGCTGGCATAAAAGAGAAACCTCCGTGCAGTGACACTGGGTTTTCGTCTTCCCCGTCTCATCCCCCCCTCCTCGCCCCCCAGGAAATCGTCAGCGGGCTGCCATTCGTCAAGCTCTCCCTGGACGACTTTCCTGACAACAAGGACATTCACAGCGACCTGCACGCCTACGTCCAGCACCGGGTGCACAGCAGCCCGGACATCCTCAGCAACATCTCCCTGAACGGCAAGGCGGACGCCGCCCTCATCGGGAAGGTGAGCAGCCACCTGGTGCTGCGCAGCCTCGGCTCCTACCTGTACCTCAAGCTCACCCTGGACCTCTTCCAGAGGGGCCACCTGGTCATCAAGAGCGCCAGCTACAAGGTGGTGCCCGTGTCGCTGTCCGAGCTCTACCTGCTGCAGTGCAACATGAAGTTCATGACCCAGTCCGCCTTCGAGCGGGCGCTCCCCATCCTGAACGTGGCCCTCGCGTCCCTCCACCCCATGACGGACGAGCAGATCTTCCAGGCCATCAACGCCGGCCACGTCCAGGGGGAGCAGGGCCGGGAGGACTTCCAACAGAGGATGGAGGCCCTCTCCTGCTTCCTCATCAAGCGGCGCGACAAGACCCGCATGTTCTGCCACCCGTCCTTCAGGGAGTGGCTGGTCTGGAGGGCGGATGGTGAGAACACGGCCTTCCTGTGCGAGCCCAGGTACGACGGGGCGCTTTCCGTCCGCTCTGGGCGGGGAGTCTGAGGGGCACGTGAGGAAGGCATTTCAAACACAGTTCCCGTGTTCTTTAGTGGAAAGGCAACACACAGTGAAACATTCAGGGGGAGTATTGGCACATTCTCTCTGCTGCTAACAGAAAGTCATTGCTAGGACGTTAGGACTCCTGGGGACATGTGGGTGAAGAGACGCCAGGCGATGCCTCGGTGTGGTTTCTTGGCCATCATTCTCTTCTCAGACCCCGCCCGCTGTCCCAGGGGCCATCCGTGGTGGGAAGGTGTGGTGTCACCTCCAGGAAACAGTGGGCTTCCCCAGAAGCTGTCCCCAGCCACTGCCTTCCCTTGAGGGTCTGTGGGCCGACTGGGGCCCCAGCACCTTCCTCCACCCACCGTGCAGCTTGTCCCGGGGATCGGACGTGGCTGCTGGCCCAGAGCGGAGCACCGCGCCCACAGCTGGCCATGTGGCTTTGAGTTTGTGGTTGAGCTCAGGGTAACAGGCTGCGATTTGTGGTCTGAGGGGGATTGAGGTTCAGATCGCAGGTGCCCCCGTAGGAGACGGTGAGAGGGCAGCTGCAGTCGCTGAGTTGGAGGTTCCACTGAGGATCTGCCACAGGGCGGGGCCCAGATGCAGTTCTCCTTCCTGCCCCGGGCAGGAGGCAGCCGTGAGCTGTTGTGGGCCTAATGCTGGTCAGCGTGAGGTCAGGGATTCGAAGGTGCGGGTACTTTCATATCAGGTGTGTTCATGTCTGCCACTGCTGCCTGGCCCTGGCCCACGCCATGGCTGTCTTAAAGGGCTCCTGCTCTCTGGGAGGCAGAATTGCTCCTGACTCGTGCAGCACGTCTGGCCAGCTGCTAACTTGTCCCCTTCCGCTGGCCTGGGCATTCGACCAGACGCTGGGGTCCAGATATGAGTGAGAACTTGTGACCAGCACACCACCTCCCTCCCCACAAATGGTTGGCAATGCTGACCAAGAGGTCTGGCTGCTGTTTCATGTTGTGATAGTGTTATTTCCCAGGTGACACGGGGCTAAGAATTGTCCTTTTGGACCTGGTTTGGGGCCATAAACTATAACTCCCAGGTTATTGAGCCAGACCATAATAACTAGGTAAATTGTATGTCCTGACATATTTAGGTCAGAGGATTTCCTGGGAGAAGTCAGATCATTTACTGGGGAAAGATAGGCCGTGTTGAATCTGTAGAGACACAAAAACAAGTTGAGCCGCCCTGCCTGGGTGGCGCAGTTGGTTGGAACGACCTCCCGTCCACCAAAAGACTGTGGGTGCAGTTCTATCTAGGTTTCCAGTTCAATGCCTGGTCAGGGCAACATGCAAGACGCAATTCAGCACAAGTTCTTGTGGACCCACTACATGCAGAGACATCGATGTTTCTCTTTCTCCCTCTCTCTCGCCCTCCCTCTCCCCTTCCTCTCTCTCTAAAATTAATAAAAAGCCGAAACCGGTTTGGCTCAGTGGATAGAGCATTGGCCTGCGGACTGAAAGGTCTCAAGTTCAATTCTGATGTACCTTGGTTGCAGGAACATCCCCAGTAGGGAATGTGCAGGAGGCAGCTGGTCGATGTTTCTCTCATCGATGTTTCTAACTCTCTGTCCCTCTCCCTTCCTCTCTGTAAAAAAACCCAATAAAATATATTTATACATTAATTAATTAATTGATTAAATTAATAAACATGTCCTCGGGCGAGGATTTAAGAAAAACACAGAAACAAGTTGAAAGATTTCAACAGTGGGTGTAAGTTTGTTACGGAGGTTTGGACTGTGGTCACAGTTAAGCTGCACTCCCTTTGGGTGGCAGGTGGCATTGAGGTCATGCAGCCTAGGGTAGGGCTGAGAGCGGGGTGCCTGATGGGTTGTCACCTTTGGTCGTGGACTGCTGAGCCCTGATGTGTTACTGTATGCAGGCATGGGGACCTCCAGGGGCAGGGCCAGGACTAGGTTGCAGCAAGAGAGGCACCCAGGTGCAAAGGAGTTGTTACCTCTCAGAATGATGCAAGCCGGCATTTACCCAAGACCCCTCTGGTTCTCCACCTCCCCTCAGCAGACAGGCAGTGTACAGAACCATGTCGGAGGGAAGCTGCTGGACTTAGTTCAGCACAAGTTCTTGTGGACCCACTACATGCAGGGTCGTGTAGAGGATACAGAAATTCCTGGGGCAAGAGCCCAGTTCAGGAGAGCTTCGCACCAGGAGGGCCGGTGGGGCTGCAGGGACCGTGCTGGGCGGAGTCACACTGCCGGAGGGCCTCAGGAAAGAGAAGCAGCTCCCGCTGGGATGGCCATGTCTGCAATGTGTTCCACATACATGTCACTCTTTGAGTTGGGCCTTGAAGGATGGGTAACATTTCTCTGCCCACCTCAGTTAGTTGTAATGTTCCCCAGTTACAGAGAAGAAAGAATCCAATAGCCAGAGGCAGTGGCATTTCATTTTTCACTTCTGCCCCTTTCCGTGCATTTTAAATATTCTCCACATTATTTTTTCCTGCAATGAAAATTCCCATTCTGCTTGCTTTGCTTAATGTATTGTGGACATTTTATAAAGCTGCTGGACTATCTTAGTGCCATTTGCATGGCTGTGCAAAACTCTTAGGAGGCAAATAGTACCCTGATTGTGGGGCTTTTACATTGTTTCTGGGTTAGTGATAAACACATGGATCTATTGTGAATATCTAGGTGCCTTACAGGAGAGCAGGAGCATTTGAGGGAGGTCCGGATTAAATCCTGTTTCCAGCCTAACCAGAGTGGCTCAGGTGGTTGAGCATTGTCCCATGCACTTGTTTGATTCCCAGTCGGGGCACATACCTGGGTTATGGATTCAGTCCCTGGTCAGGGCATGCATAGCAGGCAATGACTGATGTTTCTCTCTACGCACGTCCTCGGGAGGGGATTACAAAAATCCTGTTTCATTAGTACCTTGTGTGATTCTTGCGCACAGCTTACTTTAATTCTCCAAGCCCGAGTCTCCTCATCTGTAAAAGAGGAAGAGCACCATCCCCTCCTTGTGTAATGGGGGCTGTTACAGAGAGAAGTTTAGTGTGTTTTTTTTTAATCCTCACCCAAGGATACTTTTCCGTTGAGTTTTAGAGAGAGTAGAAGAGAGAGAGAAATATCAAAGTGAGAGAAACACACCAGTTGATTGCCTCCTACACGTGCCTCAACCAGGGCCTTGAATGGGGAAGAGCCTGCAACTGAGGTACGTGCCCTTGACCTGAATCGAAACTGAGACCCTACAGTCCACAGACTGACCCTCTATCCGCTGAGCCAACCCTGCTAGGGCAAGAGGAAGTACTTAAGAGCATCTGCTTCTTTCCTTTATATCCCCTTTCTTCCCCCCGGCCTCTCCCTGCCTCTACCCCCCCTTCTTTCCTTTCTGATTTTGATTATCCCTTAGGTTTGAATCCAGGAACAGAATTATCAAGTTAAAGAGTAAAGTTACTCAAAGCCCCATTCTCATCACCTGGGCTTAAACACGATTCACATTTTACAATATTTGCTCCATCTGTTATTTTTTGTTGAAATAAATTATAGACTTCATGATATTTTACCTGAAATAGTCGGCTATAAACAAAAAAAACAAAAAAAGATTTTCATACTTAGCCACAACACCATTACAACACCTAAAATACTGACACTAGTTCACCAGTATCAACACATTTATCTATGCTCAGATTTCCTCACTTTCTTCCTATTTTTTAGTATGTATGAATCAGGATCCAGATGAGGACCCTAAGAGGCATTTTATTGTGTCTCTTTCAATCTACAGATTCCCACCTTTTGTTTTTTCTTTGCATTTTATTTGTTTTTAAAAAATCAACTGCGTAGTTTGTGCTGTTAGTTTCCCATAATGTGGATTTTTTTAAAACTTTTTTAAATATATATTTTATTGATTTTTTACAGAGAGGAGGAGGGAGGGTTAGAGAGCTAGAAATGTCGATGAGAAAAACATCGACCAGCTGCCTCTTGCACACCCCCTACCGGGGATGTGCCCGCAACCAATGTACATGCCCTTGACCGGAATCAAACCTGGGACCTTTCAGTCCGCAGACCGACGCTCTACCACTGAGCCAAACCGGCTTCGGCCCATAATGTGGATTTTGCTGATTGTGTTCTCAGGGAAGTTATTAATGTGGGTTTTGTTTTTTTTTTCACCTTTATTTTCTATAAATTGGTAGTTAAATCTGGAGGCTTGATCAGATGTTATTTTACTTTAAAAATTTTTTTTGCAAAGATGCTTAATAGGTGGTAGTGAGTAAAGTAAGTACTTCCATAAAGAGACATTTCGCATCTTAATGTGCCAGGGTTTTGGGGGGTGTGCGGTGATGTGCCAGGGTTTTGGGGGGGGTGCGGTGATGTGCCAGGGTTTTGGGGGGGGTGCGGCGATGTCCTCACTGGAGGGCCCGGGGTGCAATAGGACAGGGTGTTTGTTACAAGCCTGTGTTTCTGGCCCCAGGAACGGGCACGCTCTCCTAGCGTTCATGTTCTCTCGACAAGAGGGCAAGCTGAACCGGCAGCAGACCATGGAGCTTGGGCACCACATCCTGAAGGCACACATTTTCAAGGTGAGACACACACCACCGTGACGACGGCTCTCACTGTTATCGTCTTTGTCCTGTTCAGTTTTTGGTTTCAGAGAATTTCAGCAGCTTTATCAGCCCTCCACAAGCCCCATTCCAAACACAGCCCCTCCCTTCTCCCTAAACGTCACCACTGTTCGGAGCTACAGTCACTCACCTGTGTATCATCTAAATGCTAGGGTCACGTTTGTACTGCCCCCGCCCCCTTTAAGTGCTTCCTAAGTTTATTTCCACCTGAAGTTGCCATTTCCCTCATTCCCTTTGGTTTCCTGGTTCTTTAGTTGTCATAGAACATGAGTTACTTGACCTCTAGTTAGATAGTTAGTTAGTTAGTTAGTTAATTAGTTTCTATAGTCGGACAATTTATTTTACTGAATTTAGAATCAAGTTCAGCTGGACCTCTATCTTTGCACCACCTGGATTTTCTTTTTTCTTTTTTTTTTTTTTTAATTTTAATTTTTTTTTTTTAAATCAATCTTTATTGTTCATATTATTACAAAGGTTCCTCATTTCTTCCCCCCCTCCACCAGGTTCCCACCCCACCCTCCGTCCACCCCCATCCCCCATTGTCCTCATCCATAGGTGCAGTTTATGTTCAGTCTCTTCTTCCCTCAATTTCCCCAATAGTAAATCCCTTTTCAGATAGTAAATCAGTTACTTAGCATTTTCTCATATCAATAATACCTCCACATGCCCAATGATACACTTCACACAAAAGACATTTCCCACTAGGTCAACCAGCCTCATCCAGGCCCCACCCAAGGCACTCACAGATCAACACCCCAGTCCTAAACTAACTCAACACATCCAGATCTAAGCCTTCATCACTTGATTCAGCAGACCCTCAAGTTCCCACGAAAGTTTCCAGCCATGTCTGAGAAGCAGCCGTGGGGCAGGGGCAGGCAAGGAGCGAGCTGTTCTGGGCCTGGCTGCTCAGGGCCTGGCCTCTGTTGCTCTGGTTCATTCCACAACCAGCTGCTCCGGGTCTGGTCACTGCCGCTCCCGACCTAGTTGCTCTGGACTTGGCTGCTGCTGCTCCGGGCCTGGCCGCTCCCAGCCTGGCAGCCGCTGCTCCGGGCCTGGCCGCACCCGACCCGCCTGCTCCCCCGGGCCTGGCCGCTCCCAGCCTGGCAGCCGCTGCTCCGGGCCTGGCCGCACCCGACCCGCCTGCTCCCCCGGGCCTGGCCGCTCCCAGCCTGGCAGCCGCTGCTCCGGGCCTGGCCGCACCCGACCCGCCTGCTCCCCCGGGCCTGGCCGCTCCCAGCCTGGCAGCCGCTGCTCCGGGCCTGGCCGCACCCGACCCGCCTGCTCCCCCGGGCCTGGCCGCTCCCAGCCTGGCAGCCGCTGCTCCGGGCCTGGCCGCACCCGACCCGCCTGCTCCCCCGGGCCTGGCCGCTCCCAGCCTGGCAGCCGCTGCTCCGGGCCTGGCCGCACCCGACCCGCCTGCTCCCCCGGGCCTGGCCGCTCCCAGCCTGGCAGCCGCTGCTCCGGGCCTGGCCGCACCCGACCCGCCTGCTCCCCCGGGCCTGGCCGCTCCCAGCCTGGCAGCCGCTGCTCCGGGCCTGGCCGCACCCGACCCGCCTGCTCCCCCGGGCCTGGCCGCTCCCAGCCTGGCAGCCGCTGCTCCGGGCCTGGCCGCACCCGACCCGCCTGCTCCCCCGGGCCTGGCCGCTCCCAACCCAGCTGCTCCGGGCCTGGCCGCACCCGACCCGCCAGCTCCCCCGGGCCTGGCCGCTCCCAGCCTGGCAGCCGCTGCTCCGGGCCTGGCCGCACCAGCCCCGCCTGCTCCCCCGGGCCTGGCCGCTCCCAGCCTGGCAGCCGCTGCTCAGGGCCTGGCCGCACCCGACCCGCCTGCTCCCCCGGGCCTGGCCGCTCCCAGCCTGGCAGCCGCTGCTCCGGGCCTGGCCGCACCCGACCCGACTGCTCCCCCGGGCCTGGCCGCTCTCAGCCTGGCAGCTGCTGCTCTGGGCCTGGCCACACCTGACCCGGCTGCTCTGGGCCCGGCTGCCCCGGGCCCGGCCGCTCCGAGCCTGGCCACTCCCGACCTGGATGCTCTGGGCTTGGCTACTGCTGTTCTGGGTCTGGCTGCTCCCACCCCGGCTGCTCTGGGCCCGGCTTCTTCGGGCCCGGCCACTCCGGGTCTGGGTGTTCCTGGACTGGCCACCCTGGGCTTGGCCGCCTCCGCCTCATGCCTGGCTGCCACTGCCCCAGGTCTGGCTACTCCAGTGCTGGCTGTTGATGCTCTGGTTCTGGCTGCTGTTGTTCTGGGGTCTGGCCGTTGCTGCTCCGGGTCTGGCTGCCACTGCCTTGTGCCTGGCCACTCTAGGCCTGGCCGTCGCTGTTCCAACATTCTGTCCTTTTTTTTTTCTTTTTAAAACGCATTTATGTTGCAATGTTGGCTGGTGAGTTGAGTTCTGACTTAGTCTTTGATTTTTCAAGATCTTCTTTGTATTCTTTCTTAAGTAATTTTACTATTTTTTGCTCTCACTTGATTTCTTCACATTGAGAACTTCTTTGGTTTCTTCCTCCTTGTCCTGGGAGCTCAGCAGGTTGGCCTGTGGCACCCCTTTGTTCTCCGCGGGCTCCAGTGCTGCTTCAGCCTGTTGGCGGGACGGCGCCGCCCAGGAAGCAGCCCCCCCCCCCCCCCCCCCCCCCCCCGCCTTGGCTCCATTGCCGGAGCTCAGTGGTCAAAGGCTCAGGGGCACCCACGCCCCCAGGGGCCCCGTGGCCCGCCTCCTTACTGGTGCCAGGTTGGCTGGAGTCCGGCAGGGGCTTCCGCTCCCCTCCGCATTCCCCCATCCTAGAGCTTTTTTTTTTTCTCCTTCCTGCTAGGGAAGTCCAGCATCAGTGTCAACAGACTGTCCTCTGCGCGCAGTTTGCGCGAGTCCCACAGACTGTCCTCTGCGCGCAGTTTGCACGAGTCCCGGGGGCCCGGCCTTTCGCTGCTCTCCCCGGACTCCACCTCACAGCCCCGTCTCCCTCTGCCTGAGCCTGGGTCCCCAGGGATTGGCCCAGAACTGGGGTTCGGAGCAGTCCGGACTGAGGCTCAGAGCCGCCGGAGGCCTTGTTTCTTCCGGCTAGGGCAACCCAGCATCAGAGTCAACATTCAGTCCTCTGCGCGCATTGCGCGCGACTCCCGGGGCCCTGCCTTTCGCCGTTTTTCCGCCTCAAGGCCCTGTCTCCTCCCGCCGGAGCCTGGGTCCCCAGGGTCTGGCCCATAACTGGGGCTCAGCGCTGCCGGTTCGGGGGGGCTCAGCGCTGCCGGTTCGGGGGTTCAGCCCAGGCTGGAGGTTTTATTTCCTTCCTGCTAGGGAAGGAAAGGCGGCTCCCCGCCCTCTCCTCCTCTCCGGCTGCGACCTCTCCGTGCGCGCATGCGGGCGGGCAGGCGCGCGCAGCATGTCTCCGTACCTTAGGCTTTTTTTCAGCTCCTCTGATTTTCTTTCTGGTTTTCTCTTTCCTTCTTGTTGTAGAAATTTCAGTCAGTCGACTACCTGTAGCTCTGGGCAATGTCCACTCTACATTTTAGTTGTATTCCATTGAAATTGTTGTGTGCTGCCGCGGCTAGATGTCTACCCGAGCAGCCATCTTGGATCCTCTCCCCACCTGGATTTTCTGATTGTTTTTCTTCTCAGCATCTCGTTCATGATCCTCTGGATTTCTTATTGGGTAGTTGCACCTAGAGGCTTAATCAGATCCAGGTTTGATTCCCCCCGACCATCCCCCCCGGGTGTCCCTATGGCTTCCTGGTTGTGCTGGGGTTCACACTCCGTGTGACTCTGTGTGGGGTTCCCGCAGCGGGAGGCACAGCGGTGTGTTGCCTCTCCGGTGGGATGCCATCAGCTGCTGCGGGTCTCTCCCTGGACCGTGCGCTCCGTTTGGGTTACAGAATGGTGATGTTTCCCCATTGATTCTTCTTTTGATTGACGGGAGAACTTCCATGAAGAGAAGAAACTTTCTCCTCATCGGCCATCTCTTTCCTCAGGCCTCCAGGCCGAGTGCAGAGGCAGGCTAGGTGCTCGCCCCTTGGTTTTCAGGAGAGAAGGCTCGCAGGTCCGGGCGTTCTTTCCACAGCTCAGCGTGTCCGCTTGCACCCACACCCTGGGGGTCCCAGCGCTGCAGGCGGGGAAGGAGACGCTGAGGCCGTTTGTCTCCTATTCCTTCCAGGGCCTCAGTAAGAAGACGGGGATCTCCTCGAGCCATCTCCAAGCCCTGTGGATCGGGTACAGCACGGAGGGGCTGTCTGCCGCGCTAGCCTCGCTCAGGAACCTCTACACGCCCAACGTGAAGGTGAGCGAGCCCTGTGCCCATGCCCATACCTGCTGCCCTTTCCCCAACAGTCTGCCCTCTCTTCTGCCTGCTGGGCTAGCTTTCCCGGGGCTGGAAGCCGTGGGCAGGCGGGGCTGTGCTGTGGGCCTGTGGTGGTTTCGGAGGGATGTGATAAGGAAGCAATTCACACAGAAACCAAAAGCCAGCGTGAGAGTCCAGGGAAAAGTGATTTTTAAATGCCCTGAGTTTCTAATCTGGACTTCTCTCTATGGCTTATAGGAAATTATATGTTGGTGAGGGACAGAGTGGTAGGGACAAAGAGGAACCGACAGCCTAGGTTTCGTGTATGTGCATGTTTATGACCATGGAATGCGTTTCAGGGTCACCCACTGCTAAGCCAGGGGCTTCCTTGGTTGTCATGTCTTGGTCCATGGCTGTCATGTCACCATCTTTTTTTTTTTTTAAATCAATTTATTTTTTAAATGTATTTTATTGTTTGTTTTTTTTGTTTTTTTTTTTTGTTTTGTTTTGTTTTTTTTACAAAGAGGAAAGAAGAGGGATAGAGTTAGAAACATTGATGAGAGAGAAACATCGGTCAGCTACCTCCTGCACACCCCCTACTGGGGATGTGCCCGCAACCAAGGTACATGCCCTTGACTGGAATCGAACCTGGGACCCTTGAGTCCGCAGGCTGACGCTCTATTCACTGAGCCAAACCAGTTAGGGCACCATCTTTTTAGAGTAGATTTCAGCCCTCATTTTAACAAAGTCTAAGAATCTAAAGCACACAGAGGCCCAGTGCCTGGTTAAATCCACAGAGAAGGTGTAACCGCCCCAAAGTGTGGGAATCACTGCTTTGCGGGATGGCAGCTTGCAACCATCTTTTCCAGTGAAATGAGTCATAGATACTTTCACCTTTTAGATTGCTCACCCATCTCATACGTGTGCTGGACTCCAGGCCTTGGCCGCAGGCCCTGACATGCCCGGCTGCCTGCACAGGCGCCAAGGCAGTTCCCAGGGAGTCGGGCCCGCCCTGGGAGCCACCTCCGTGAAAACAGTCACACCTGCCCCCTCTAGCAGGAGGCTGACCGACGTGGTCACGGAGCCCTGTATGCTCCAGGCACGCCTTCCACGTCTCACTTTGGGTTCATCAGACTCACCTGGAAAGGGCATCACATGCCCCAGAAATGGCACTCCCAGGAGACTTCTGTACCTCTTCCTCCTCCTTCCTCCCCCTCTCCCCCAGCACCTCGCACCTTGGATGTGTGACTGGGGACTTGGGTTTGCAGAGGGCTTCCCATGCCCAGTGGGGCTTAGCTCTGCCCCTCTCCTCCTTTCCCTGCCTTCCGGGTGGATTCTGTCCCTTCTCCTCCCCTGCAGAGGGGAGGGTGGCAGTGCTGACAGAGAAGCCTGGGGTCAGAGGGACCTAGCAGTGCTCTGACCCGGGAGCCCTGCTGCCCAGTACAGGGCCCTGGGTGGGACAGAGAAAGGCCACCGCCTCCAGGTGGACGCAGACGGGCCTTTGCAGAGATGAAGTGCCACCTTGTGCCAGTGGACCTGCCCGCTCTTAGGGTTCAAGACTTGATGGGCAAGGGGCTCATTGGGTTTCATTTTGACATGCCCCTCGGCCAGGCACCTGGGGCAGAGCACCCCTGGAGGACCGCTCTGGGGACCCTGTGCTCTGCCCGCCCCTTCGCATGCTCGCACTTCTGTCTGTCAGACCTGAGGTTTGTGTGCCTGGGTCTCGGCTGAATCCCCCACACAAACTGAAGGGGCAGAGGGACAGGGAAGCTGTTTCTGTAGTTACGGGAATTGGCTTCAGGCTGCTTCTGCCGATCAAAAGAAGCTCTTCCTGTTTAGATGGAATTCCTGGAAAACAAAGGTGGAGAACACAGCTGAGCTTAGACTTCACGTAATAAAATGTTTGTATTAAGACTCTTTGTTCAACTTAAATTTTATAGAAATTGGGTTGAACTTACTATATAATAATGACATTGTTCGTCTTTTGTCTCAGCTAAAAGTGTACCCTTTGGCTTGTCCGTAATTAAGAAAATTCTATAACAATGGCCAGGAAGAAAAGAAATAAAGAATAACAATGGCAATATCTGTTTTTACTATTTTAATGAGTTGCGGGCACAGGCATTCTTCATCCCTTACAGAGAAATGAAAATTGGAAACGTCACACTCTGTTGAATATGAGCTTTTAAGACAGTAAATTGAAGGTACAGCATAACAATATAATGACCTGGACCCTCCTGGGGTTTTAAACTTTCCTGTCTAATGTACTTGCACTTTTAAGAATCTTTCATCTTCACTTCGTTTCAGAGAGCTCCTGTGTCACCTGCGTCTACGCTGTCCCTGAAATCCTACAGCATGCTTATAGAATCTTGAGGCTTTCCATTATCCTTCTGTTTCCTTTTATCTTTCAAGGAAAAAAAATAAAATAAAAGGGTTTTCACAGAATCTTCAACAAATTATAGTAATTTAAAATTATGCATGCAATTAAGGAACTTTTTTTAGAGAGTATTAAATGTTGTCATACAGGCAGGGATGTCATTTTGAGCAATAATTGCAGTTTGCCACTTTGGCAAATTAAAGTGACTTTGCTCCAGGATGACTGCCTGGTAGATGCATTTTAATTTCAATGGCATGCCAATGACTTCTAACAATGGCGTCTCCCGTCACCAGGCCAGCGCCGTGCCAGCCCAGCCCCGGTGGCCCACTGGGGTCCTTGCCACCTGACCTCCAGGCTCCCAGCCAGCTGGCTGTCTGGCTCACACTGTCCCGTCGGACTGGCTGCCAGCCACGGGCTTCCCAAGACTGTGGACGTGGGAGAATTTGCACTGCGATTCTTCCCTCAGCGGAAGGCAGGGAGGAGGGGGACAGAGTTAGGCATGGACATGGCCTTCCTTCCCGTGGTGGAGAGGGTCCAGGGTGTTCTGTGTGACAGTGAGGCAGCACGCACACCGTGCAAGCCTGCTATCGTGGCTGTGACCCTCCAGTAACGATGGAGAAAACTGGTTCTCGCCCCTGCTGACCATGCCAGCCAGCCTTCCTCCGGCCCCTTTTCTGCTTTCTTGCATTCATTAAACCCAGAAGTTTATAGATAATATTGCCATTCCTAAGTGTTACCCAAGGAGACTGTCTGTGATGGTGGTGGCTGGGAAATTTCCACGTTGGGGGCGAAAGGAAGAGGACGAACCATTTAAACCCTGTCCTTGAATGCAGAGTAATCTTACCCAGCTGCTGCTCACACCACTGGACTGCTCTGCGGCAGGAGTTTTGTGCCCAGGAATCATCTGTGCTTTGTCCCCGCTGAGCCTCAGTTTTCTAGCCTATACATTGGAGGTAACTAAAGAGCCTTTCTCAGAAGGCTAGGAAACCTCACGAGGTGTTAAAGCGCTTGGAAACTGCTAGACATTTATTCCTGGGCAAGTGAATTATTCTCATTTGTGCTTTGTCTCCCTCCTGGAGACCGAGACTCGGCAGTAGGCACCTGAGAACTTCTGGATGTGTCTGGCTGGTGGCGAGAGGAGCTGCCCACCAGGAGTTTTTGTTGGGCCCACGTGACCCCTGTCTGCTCTCAAATAAGCGTGAGGTCTCCTGCGCTTGGAGCTGGTGAGCAGCTTGTGGAGAACAGACCTCGGGTGGCCAGAGGCCTGGGGTAGAGCGCCCTCCTGTGCCTTCCAGCATCAAGGACCTGGGTGCCTGTCCCTCCTAAGATGCTGGTAAAAGTGATTGCAATGATAGCAGTTGAACTTATTTAGCACTTGCAGGATGCTGAGGACTCTGCTAAGTGCTTCATGTGTGTCTGTGTATGTCACGTTCATTTTTCATCTTCACAACAGCCCAGTGAGGTGAAGCTGTTTTTATCTCCGCTTCTCAGATGAGGACGAGAGCAGTTAATAGCTTGCCTCAAATCACACAGCTGGAAGATCCCTGGCTAAGAGCAAGCCCAGGCCCCACAGGGGCATTGATTATACACGTGTTTGCAGCCCTGGCTGCCAACCAGAGTCACTGGGGAGCTCGGTGTCTGAGCCAAGGCAGTCTCCATGGGGGCTCAGCATTGGAAATTTCCAGGCTCCCGGATGGTTTCAGCGTGCAGCAGGCGAAGAGCCATGGGTTAGCGCTGGCTGGGGTTTCTCAGTGATCAGGGTGTCGGCCCTCACACCAAAGGCAGCCAGTCGATGTGCTTCTCTCACATTGGTGTCTTTCTTCTCTCCTCCATCCCCTCCCTAAAAAAAAGAAAATAAATGGAAAAATATCCTTGGGTGAGGATTAACAAAAAAAAGAACGATGGGTTAGTGCAGTGGTCGGCAAACGGCAGCTCTCGAGCCACATGCAGTTCTTTGGCCCCTTGAGTATGGCTCTTCCACAAAATATCACGTGTGGGCGTGCACGTACACTGCAATTGAAACTTCGTGGCCCCTGCGCAGAAGTCTGTTTTCAGTCTGGGCGAGTCTATTTTGAAGAAGTGGTTCTAATGCCGAGGCACCCTCAAGGGGCCAAAGAGCCACATGAGGCTTTAGAGCTGAGGTTTGCTGACCACGGGGTTAGGGAAAGATCCACAGACCAATAGGGGGTAAAGCAGTGAAAATACCCAGAGCATTGCACCTCCAAGGAAATGTTTTTCCCAATAAGCAGATGAAGTGTGAATTGTAGATGAACATTGGTACTACTCAGGTAATGTCTTATGAGGTACTGAAAGTACACCTTTGACATTATTGACAGAGAGTACCTGTTGGGCAGAATAATGGGGTGGTCTGCTGGCTGTTTTCTCAGGAGGCACCTGAAGAGCCGAGAAGTTGAGTAATTTTCTGAAAATCACACAGCAAGTTAGTTAAGGGGCTGATTGTGAACTTGGACTATTTAACCCATCATCTTTTTCTCTTAGGCTTAATGGATCTCAAGAGGGGCTGGGATTGGTGGAGAGCAGAGAGGGTAACTGGCTGTCCGGGTCACCCAGGGAATTTACAAATGATCATTGCCAGTCCTGTGGAGACCAGTCTGGTGGGCCTCTCAGTGATAGGATGTTATGTGTTTTGAAAAGGCTGCCAGGGTTCTCCTGTGTTCCTCTTGGTATGAGTCGATTTCCTCAGCTTTGTAAGACTCCCAAGTATTTTCACCAGCATTATCGTACTATTTCCGTACTAAATGGTGGTAGCTCAAGGGGAAATCATTTTCTGAAAAGCCCTCAACTTTGGTGTAGCACTTACCATTTTAATACTTTTGAATCCTACTTGAGTCTGTCGCGTGAATTTGTCTGGCAGAGGTGCAGCCTTGTGTTACGTGTCAGTGTTAGCTCAGGGACTCCTTTTCTGGCCTCTCTTCCATGAGTTCTCTGCCTTTCCATCCGCAGTGCTGGCTGGAGGCTGAGCTGGTGCTGACCTGGGTGGGGCTAAAAGATGTCCCTCTCTGATGGGTGTAAGCGATGGGGTGGGTGCTGTGGGTCATGGGGTCTCCTCGGCACTTGTGTGCCATCTGTCCTTCCTTAACTGCAACTGGTGATGGGGCATCCTGTCGTGGAGGGTCTTTACTTGCCACTCTTCTCTCTGAACTTCGGAATGTTACAGCCAGCACCTGGTGCAGGGGGGCTGAGCCGGGAAGTGGGGTGTGAGGAGGGGGTGCACAGTACCTGGAGTTGATGCATGCATGGGGGCGTGGTTCTTGTGGACAAGTGGGTGCAAACAAGTGTGTGCACATGGGCAGAGTGGTGTGAGTGTGTTTTGTAGGGGTTGGGGGGATGGGACTTTTCTCTGGTGTCCTGGCATCGGAGCAGAGACCTTTAGGAGGCAATCCTTTATCAGTTGAATCTGTGGGAAAGGCGTTCTTGACTGAGTTAAGGGCCCTGAGGCGAGGGCCTGCTTGCTACTGGACACAGCGTGGCCAAAGTGGGCAAAGTAGGGAAGAAAGGGGGAAGTGCTGGGAGAGGTGAGGGAGCTGGAGGGTTGGGATTTCATGTGTCAAGCCCCAGGACAACCAGAACTCCTCAGAGCTTACACTTTGGGTTCTAACCTGCTCCTGTTCTGCACACGATCCCAAGTCATGGTCTCACCGCCTCGTAATATTAATTCCTGTCCGTTCGTAAAAATTCTGTCAGCTGCTCTCGTGGACACATATCATTGAGGGAACTTGAATTTTATATGACTTAAACCATCTTCCTGCATCTTTTAATGATCCCTTGTGACTCTAGTCAAATGAACGACACGGTGTCTGTGGTTTCCATACCTCGTGGGCAGCCTGGAGGCCTGCCAGGGCCTGTCAGGGGAGTGATTGATGCTGGCCTGGGCCGCTGAAGGGAACCGTTTGAAGAGATGCGGTGGGCATTTTAATAGGTGTTAAAGGGCCGTCGTTTTTTTCAGTGATCTGGAGATATGCGGAAGACAGTAGTAGAGCTACAATGTGCATACGGTATTCTGTGATTTTATTTTAAAATCTCTAGGTAAACACCCCCTTGGATCATGTCTGGATCCAGGTAACTTCAGTGGGTGGCGGGCGGGGTAATTAGGAAAAGACCATTTTTAGGCGCCCTGTACTGCTGACAGCCCCAGGGGCACACGTTTTCATGTGTCTGCTCTTTCTGCGCTTCCTGGTGAAGAAAAGACAGTGTCTGCCTTTACTTTTGGCCTTGTTACCTCTCTGCTAAGTATTTAATCCCGTGATGATTGTTTTATTTTTATTAGATTAATAAAAGTGTGGACCCCAGACCAGCAGCATCAGGAGAAGCTGGGAGCCTGACCCAGCACACCAGGCCAGTAGGTGGGGCCTGAGACTGTGCTTTAAAATTTTTTTAATTTAGTTAAAACAACAACACACAAGCTGGGCTGCGATGGCTCAGGGGTTGAATGTCGACCTATGAACCTGTCATGGTTCATTCCTGGTGAGGGCACATGCCTGGGTTTCAGGCTCCATCCCTGGTGGGGGAGTGTGCAGGAGGCAGCCGATTAATGATTCTCTCTTATCATTGATGTTCCCCTCTCTCTTTCTCTTCTTTCCTCTCAGAAATCAATAAAAATATACTTTAAAAAAACTATATACAACAATATGAAATTTACTATCTTAACTATATATTTTTTAAATTGTTTTATTTAAGTATATCGTAGTGATATTGGTATATATTAGTGACATTGGGTTCAGGTGAACAATATAGTGATTTGACATTTTTATACCTTACAGTGCGATCGCCCCACTAATTCTCATAATCACCCGTCACCATGCAAACTTACCACAATATTATTGACTAGATTCTCCTTCACCATATTCATCCCCACACCCACTGTAATCATTCCTATGGTCTCTATTTTATCTTAATTATTTTTAAGTGTAGACTTCAGCAAAGTATATTCACATTATTGCACAGTAGATCGCCAGTTCATCGTGTGAAACTAAATCTCTATAATCATTAAACTGCTCTCATTACGCCTTCCCTATAGCCCTGGGCAACCACCATTCTGCTTTCTAGCTTTGATATGACTACTATAGATACCTTGTATAAGTGGAATCAGAGTATTGATCTCTCTGTGACTAGCTTATTTCACTTAGCATAATGTCAATAAGGTTCATCCATGTTGTAGCATGTGTCAGATTTTCCTTCCTTTTACTTTTTTTTTTCTTTTTTTGTTAATTGATATGAGAGAGAGAGATTTGTTGTTCCACTTATTTATGCACTCATTGGTTGTTTCTTATATGTGTCCTGCTGGGGATCCAACCCTTTACCTTGGCCTATCAGGATAACTGACACTCTAACCCAGTGGTCGGCAAACTGCAGCTCTCAAGCCACATGCAGTTCTTTGGCCCCTTGAGTTTTTAGCAAAGGCCAGCTTAGGAGTACCCTAATTAAGTTAATAACAATGTATCTACCTATATAGTTTAAGTTTAAAAAATTTGGCTCTCAAAAGAAATTTCAATTGTTATACTGTTAATATTTGGCTCTGTTGACTAATGTGTTTGCCGACCACTGCTTTAACCAACTGAGCTATCCAGCCAGGGTGAAAATTTCCATTTAAAGGCTGACTAATACGCCATTGTACGCACAGGCATATACCACATTTTGTTTATTCAACCATCGAGGGACATTAGTTTGTTTCCATCTCTTGGCTGCTGGGCTCATGCTGCAGTGAACGTGGCAGTGCAGGGGCCTTTTTGAGGCTGGTTTCATTGCCTTCGGATCTGTTCCCAGAAGTGGGACTGAGGGATCTTGGGGACCCTCCACACTGTTTTCTGTAGCTGCTGCACCATTCCATTCCCACCGTGGAGAATGTGCCCTTGCAGCACGTTCGCAGGTAACACGGTGCACACGCAAATTGGAGAGCCACTGGATCAGAATGAGGCTACTGCCCTTCTCCACGGAAGTTGTTACAAATGTGGCATTTACCTGAGAAATTAATCTTCTTTGGGGGGACTTTCTCCAACAGGTGAGCCGGCTCCTGATTTTGGGCGGGGCCAACGTGAATTACAGGACGGAAGTGCTGAATAACGCCCCGATCCTGTGCGTCCAGTCTCACCTTGGCCACGAGGAGGTGGTCACTCTGCTCCTGGAGTTTGGTGCCTGCCTGGACGGCATGTCTGAGAACGGCATGACTGCCCTCTGCTACGCGGCCGCCGCCGGCCACATGAAGCTGGTGTGCCTGCTGGCCAAGAAGGGGGCGAGGGTAAGCAGCAGCCTTCCCGGGGGGGGGGGGGGGGGGAGGGGGGCAGCAATGTCTTCATGTCCCAGTTAGAATTACCCCCCAGGCCAGCCCTCCGTTTGTCTCTACCTTGTTGAGTTGCAATGAACAGAAATGGCTAGCTAAACAGAAAGGGTGAGCTCAGCACTGCCATGGGACACCACCTGTGTGGGTGCGCTGAGAGGGTGCTCCAGTGTTCAGTTCCTAAACTCACTCTGCTTTCTGTAGCCCCGGGGGCGGCAGGCTACCGGGGGGATTCCTGGCACCAGTGGCACGAGCAGGGCCATCCTTTGAAAAGCTTGCAAGTGCAAACCTAGATAGAACTTACCAGAATTTAATGGCACCAATTAAGTGAAAAGATTTACATGTTTTATTTTTTTCTCTCTCCTTGTCCCATTTCATTTCATACCTTTAAAAAAAAAAACCACAATGAAATGAGTTCTGTGGGCTTAGAAGCATGGGCCTGAGCAGGGTGCGCTGTGACAGCCAGTCTACCAGGGGAACCCGAGACCTGGCCGGTGCCTTCATTCCATCACAGTAACTCCAGCAGGACTCTGCTCTCCAGAAAGATGCACTGGGACACAGACCCAGTACCTGTGCTTGCACACAGACAGCGTTTGTGTTGGACCCGTGTTCCCAGAGCAAAGGTGATGCTAACTGGTGCCCTTTGCTCCTGCCTTCCAGTTGGACCACTTGGATAAGAAAGGCCAGTGTGCACTGGTGCACAGCGCTCTGCGGGGCCACAGCGACGTGCTGCAGTACCTGCTGGCCTGCGAGTGGTCGGCGGGTGCTCCGCAGCCCGGTGCGCTGAAGAAGAGCCACGCCCTGCAGCAGGCACTGACGGCGGCCGCCAGCATGGGCCACAGCGCGGTGAGTGGGGCTGCGGGGTTCCCTCTTGGGGAAGGGGGAGCTGTGGTGCACTGGGTGGGTACCTGTGAGGTCGCCTTCTTCGGAGTCGCTAGCCTGTGATGCATGGAAGAAAAGAAGGTAAAGAAAGGAGGGTTTGGAGAAACAGCATCTGGTTTGACTGTGTGTGACCGTGATCCAGGGTCTTGGCATCACACCCTGCATTTGAGTGAAAGCCCCAAGCCCACAGTGCCACGTGTGTATGTGTGCTCACACAACAGGGAGGCCTCTCCCCCACGGAGTCGTCCATAATATTAATAACGTTCATTCTCTACGCTTCCTTATCTCTTTTTAAAAATTGATTGTTATGAAGGAAGGGGGGGGGGTGGAGGGAGGGGGAGAGAAACATCTATCCCGACCTGAGATGGAATTCCTAACCTGGGTATGTGCCCTGACAGGGAATCGAACCAGTCACCTTCTGGTGTCCTGGACAATGCTCCAACCAACTGAGCCACCAGCCAGGGCTTCCGTGTCTGTGTGTCTCTGCCTTTCTCTCTTCTGCTTTCATCCTCTTGCCCTGCTGCCTTACTTTTTATCCCCACTTTGGTTCATTCTTTTGTCCTTGTGGTCCTTTTAAAAATCACATGGAATCCGAATTCTAAAATTGTCCTTGAGTATTTGAAAGATGTTAAAAATAGAACCTCAGTGCTCTCCTAGCCTGCAAAAACGCTTGCCCTTCGCAGCTCCTGCACTGAAGGAAAACTCCGCCAGCAGTTCAGTAGAGCACTTATTTCTGGTAGACGTTGGCATTCCTCGGTTTGAGGTATCATTGTCACCTCCTGACCAGTGTGTGTGTGAATTTAATATTTTACTTGCTCCCTTCTATGTGTTTTTCTCTCTGTATGACCCTCAAGCAATCAGAGTTGCCAGTATTTGGCAAGAGTTGTCCCTACAATTATTTAGAATAAATTTGGGTACAAAGCTGGTTGGCTGGCTAGCTTTTGATATTTAAAACACAAGAACAAACATACACACCCATGTTTGCATGTGCACACACACACACACATTAAAAATACACATACATAATACTTCAACACAAATATGCTGCATTAATTAAATGCAGAAGATTATAAAAGCATGCAGTTCTCTTAAGGGAGACATGAGAGATTTACAAAAATATGAAACAATACTAGTCAACGTACATGTTTTAGTTCTGGAAAAAATACTTGTTTTATTTTTTTTTTTAAACCGTATTTCATAAAAAATAGGTTAAATGCTATATATAATGGGTTTATGATAAGCTCAACTTGTTTTGAAGCTGGCTGAGAAGAATGCTGTGCAAAAGCAACCTCAGCCTCGCCAGTAACACAGGGCAGGATTCATTCATCACCTCGAAGGGTGTATGAGCTTCCTAATGCTGCTGTAACAAGTGACCACAGACTTGAGTGGCTTAAAGCAGCAGACACCCATTCTCTTTCGGACCAGGAAGTCAGAAAGCGAAAGGTAAGGTGTCAGGAGGCAGTGTTGTTTCTGGAGGCTCTAGAGGGGAATGGTGTTTAGTTTTTTTCCTAGTTTCTAGAAGCCACCTGTATTCCTTAGTTTATGGCCCTTTCCTTTGTCTTCAAAGAGCATCACTTTTCCTTATGCTTCCGTCGTCCCCTCTCCTCCCTCCTCTGCCCTGTTGTTCCTGTCCCTCTTTGGGGCAGCGGCGATTATGTCAGGTGTATATGAGCTATGCACCTGGGTAATTCAGGGTCATCGTCCCTTTCAAGATCCGTAATCACATCTGCACATTCCCTCTTGCCATGCCTGGTAACGTTCCCAGCTTTGGGGAACGAAGATGTGGATATATTTGGGGGCTCTTGTTCAGCCTACCCCAATGGGTGCAGATTGGGGGACAGGAAAATGGCTCTGCCCTCGCCTGCTGCTGCCGTTGCACAGAGTGAAGGGTTCGGGGCTCAGATCCTTCCAATTCCCCTCGAGCCAGCACCCTGCCTCCACACCTGTGACCCCACCTGCTTTTTGATGGGGGCGATGCCCGCACAGGAAAGAATAATAACGCTGTTAGTATAAAAATCATCTAGACAACACTCTTTATTTTATTTTATTGAAAAGGTATACACCGCCTTGTTTTCTTTCCTTGTGAAAATGGATTCACCATCTTCGGGCAATTTATGCAGAAACTGCACTTTGTGTGATATCCTGTGTCCTTTGATGATTAGGCTGGCATATTTGGGTCATGTTGGAATTCATTAAAATTCCGAGTACTTGGTAATCCTGAACAATGTTGCTGAAATTCACAGCGCCTTTTTTTTATTATTATTCTCAAAGTGAATGTGTGAATAGCATATGAATTATGCTTAAAAATGGTTTTCATTATATTTTCTCTCCTTGTGCGGCATGAGATAATCATGGTTAAAAAACAACAGACTGGCTCCTTTGATACATGGGGTATAATAAGCACATATGGCGACGAGAACTCATTAAATCACCTTGCCACTTCTGACAGGTGGTCGAGTGCTTGCTGGGACTGGAAAAGGAACATGAAATAGACGTCAATGGCACCGACACGCTGTGGGGAGAAACAGGTAATTACGAATCCATGGCTTACGGTCTGGGCCAGCCGGATGGCGGAGCCCCCGTTTGGCCTAATTGTCTTCAGGATGACTTGGGATGCACATCGCCCTGTTGTTATTTTTATCCTGAGGCATTCGAAGCTTAGCAAGTGAGTAGTAATACTTACCTAAAATTCAAACCATTTTGAATTGGACCAGCAGTGCCTGCGAATCTGATGACTGTCAGCTAGAAATACTGTGTCCGATGAACGCCAGCCAGAAAGACCTGAATAAGGTGTTCCCTTATCCTCACCAGCCTGGTCTCCTGTGGGCAGGGCAGGGCTGCCGCCCCGAGTTCAGATGAATCCAAGGTGTTCAGGGAGTAAGGCTGCGGCTGTCTGTGGAGTGAGAGCGGCCCAGGGCCTCGGGGGCCACTTAAAACTCTGAGGCCAGGCTGCCGAGCCCATGTCCGTGGGTGTGGGGGGAGGGGTGCGTGTCTCACTGCAGCATGGGGAGGGAGTCCACGGTGAGTGTATCTTCGTGAAGATCTGAGTTGGTTACCTGCCCGGTGAATATGGATTATGCTGCTTTGAGATTTTTCCATGGCACTGAATTGGTATCAGAATCATAGGACTCTGAGTTAGGAGTTGTTGTTGAATGGGTGTAGCCAAGGGTGTTTAATGTGTGTGTCCAGGCTGTGTGCTGTGTGTGGACACAGTGTACATGGCTTCCATTTCCCCTGTGTAGATGTATTTCCAAATGCTCCCAAGTCATTTCCTAACCGGCCAAATGGTAGCGTGTCAAGTTTGTCAGCGAACTCATACTTAAGAAAAGCTTCAGTCCTAGCCAGTTTGGCTCGGGGGATGGAGCGTCAGCCTGTAGACTGAAGGGTCCCAGGTTTGATTCCGGTCAAGGGCACGTGCCTAGTTGTGGGCTCGATCCCCAGTGGGGTGCGTGCGACCAGTGGTTCTCATCATTGATGTTTCTAGCTCTCTCTCCCTCTTCCTTCCTATCTGAAATCAATAAAAATACATTTTTTTTTAAAAAGTTAAAAAAAAAAAAAGCCTCAGGTGTTTGGGGGGGTGAGGGTGGGGTGCAGGTTTGCACTTAAGGTCTCTGGTGCCCTCCCTCGGGGCTGCACCGTGTGTGTGTGTGTGTGTGTGTGTGTGTGTGTGTGTGTGGCGTTGGTGCCAGCTGTCCTGGTGTCTACGGAGGAGATGGCCTGGCCCCCGTTCCAGGAAGAGTGCAGAACCCCAGGCAAAGTTGGATTATACTTGGGGCTAAATGTGAGTAGATTTAACTATTGTTCTTAATTCTCTGTGGCGTCTTTCCCCAATCCATTTAGGTAGTATGGGCTGCTCTGTTAATTCATGAAAGAAAAGCTCCAGTCCACTTCCCTATCGTGTTGTGGGCGGCAAAGAGGACTTTGCATGGTGCTCAGTCAGAGGGTCCCGTTCCTGCCTTTCCAGTGCCCTGGTGGGTGTCGCAGGTTTGGGCAAGTTCCTCGGCCTCTTTGTCAGATGAGGTCAATAGAACCTACGTTCCAGGATCCTGGTGAAGATAAGGAATCTCGTCCAAATGTTCCCAATGTCAAGAACCCCAGGTACACTGTGAATGAATCAACATCCTGATTCATGAGGTCCAGGGGGGCCCCACACACAGTTTCTTAGCAGGCATCCCAGGGGACTCTGGCTTCAGGACCAATGGAGAACCATTAGGGAAGCGGTGTGCAGGGACTCGGAGTGAGAGGTGCCCGTGGTGGCGAGGGGGCCAGGCCTAGTGGTAGTTAACACGCACACTGAGCCCAAAGGGGAATCCCCAGCCTTTGATACTGAAGGTTTTTCTTTCTGGAAGAAAAATGCAGAAAAGGGCTGCATGTGAGGGCCTTGTGTGAGCAGTCTGCCGTGTTTCTTGCTGACCCGTCTTGAATTTATCCCTGACCCCCTTCAGAATCTGGTAGGCTGATAGCTAAAGAGAAACCACTGTTCCCATCAGTCTTGCTGAAAAGATGAGTCACAGCTCAGCCCCGGCCTTCGGGAGCGCGCCCTTCAGACCACATTGCAGCCTGGGAAGTACTCTTGCCCTTCATTGGCAGGCGCAGGGTGAAGGTCATCAGACCAGAGTTTGAAGGATTTTTCTTTTCAATGCCAAGAAAAAGTTAATCACTGCTTCTTGGGTTCTGTGGACTGTGTCAATAAAGTCAGTCTTGGCCTAACCGGTTTGGCTCAGTGGATAGGGCGTTGGCCTGTGGACTGAGGGGGTCCCAGGTTCGATTCTGGTCAAGGGCATGTACCTTGGTTGCAGGCACATCCGCAGTAGGGGGTGTGCAGGAGGCAACTGATCCATGTTTCTCTCTCAACAATGTTGCTAAATCTCTATCCTTCTCCCTTCCTCTCTGTAAAACATCAAGAAAATATATTAAAAAATAAAATAGTCTTGCTGTCTCTGCATTTCCTATCTGGTACCTTTCTCCTGTGTTCCCTCAAAAATAACTGTCATTGTCTGCTACCTCAAAGCCTCCTCATTTCCAGATCTGTGGTTGTCAAAGGCAGTCGCACACTGAAATCTGGCAGAGGAAGTCTTAAATGAGAGCACATCTATAAATGTGGGGTACTGCCCAGATCGTGAGGCTGTGTTTGGGATTTGGCCATGGAAGGTCCTCATTACCCGAGCCCAGATGTCTCCTGCAGAGCGTGAGCCGGTAGGCAGCTCACAGTCCTCATTCTCACCGGCAGCTGCCTGTGGCTCCCGCCTCTGCATGGGCTGTACTGCTCTGTGTGCTGCTGCTAGTGGCTGGGGACCTTGGAAATGAAAGTGGTTGTTTCACTTCCTCGTTTTGTTTGGTCCTCATTCCTGAGTGTGGTCAGCGGTGATTTGTGTCTGAGACACTCTGGCCTGGGGCTTGTCTGTCTGCAGCCGCAGCTGGAGGGGAGCATCCAGAGTCTGATTCTGTCTGAGAGTGGGAAGTGGAGGGAACACCTGGAAGTGCTCCACACATTCATTATTTGTCTCCCAACCGTGTGTAAGTTTCTACAAGTCTGTCAGTGTGACTCCAGCTGTGAGTAGCTGGTCTTTAAAATACCAGCTGCTGGGGTTGCAAGGCAGGGTCTCCTGGGTCTGTTTTTGGCTCACCCGCCTGGCGCTGAAGGGCCCTGTGTTTTCCGAGCAGTGACGCCATGTTCCAGAAGTGGGGGGCGCTAAATCTGTGCACAGAGTCCTTCCCCACTTTTCTGCCGGAAGAGATGCTTACAATCCCAGTGTACCTACCGTGTGTGGCAAATGTGTGGTTTTCATGCCTGGTGCCGATTGGAAGTAGCAAGTCATCTGTGAGAATGACGGCTGACAGTCAGAGGGAGGGGCCACAGGGAACAGCAGACCTGTGTGAGGTGGCTCAGGACAATCCAGGTAGGGATGTGAGGGTAGACAGTCGATCGCCTTTAGTGTCTCCCTGCTGATGACCTAGTCACCAGATGCCATCGCAGAAGGGGGGTGGTTCCTATCTTAGGTTTAAAGAGACAAGAAAATATACAGTAGATTTCACCTAAAATGGTAATAATGCTTAGTTTAGGGTTTACGGCAGTAAATCTATATCTTTTAGACAACTTGGGCTATCTCTGCCTGATTATACAGCAGGGGTTTACGTAAATTTCCCTTTTCACATCATCTGGGCCATTTGCTATTTATGTCTGATTGATGTTGAGGATTCAGCCCTGCAAAACCAGTCCTGTAGTCCAATAGCTCCTCATGCTCACTCGGGTGGAGAAGTAGAGGGACCGGAGAAATTGTGTTGGAGGGGAGGAGTGAGAGGCCCTTCAGCGCCAGACAGGTGAGCCAGGAACAGCCCGGGAGCCGCTGAGGACTGGCTTGTGGAGTGCCTCCCGCCCAGCGCTCTGCCCTGCAGCCCCGGGCCCTGGCTCCAGGACACTCGCAGACCTGGTCAGGCTGCCTGGGTCTCCTGGCCTCAGGGCAGCCTGCACCGTGCCAGGAGCCCATCAGATGCTCGTGTGATCTCTGTCTCAGGCATTCCGCAGCCATGACAAGTAAGTCTGGCTCCCACGAAGTCCTGACCGAACAGAGTTGCGGTTTCCATGTCGGTGCTGGATGTGAAAGAGCCCAGCTTGAAACGGCCAGAGATGCTACGTGCTCACCTGGTGACCTCATGCTGCTGTTGTGAATCGTCAGAGGAACTGTTCTCACCCTCCAGGCAACTCTCACGCCTGGGAGCCTGCTGTCTGTGTTTCTGGCCAGACTTCCAGCTCTTTGCGGGTCTAGAGGCCCTTCTGTTTTCAGCATTTGCCAGTGAATGTGCAAATGATGCCTGTCTTCTAAGCAAAGTCTGACCACCCCTGGGACTTGAGTCTGAGGTCTGGCAGCTGGGGCGGCGAGGGGGAGGGGGGAGGGGGGGAGAGGGTACTCACACCTCTTTCCATACAGTTGTATTTCATCCTTGATGTTTTAAAACTTCAGTTCTGAAAGGCAGGCGGGCCCAGGTGTGAGCTTACCACACCCAAGGCCTCCCGAGAGCCAGGGCTTGGCCCCCGGGAACAGGATGTCTGATGGTTGAGTGAGAAAGGACCCTTGGCTCACTGGAACTTGACCTTCTTATGGAGAGAGGGGCCCGGCATTCACCTATGTATGCACACCCCCAGCAGCGTTTCTGGGGAAAGACTGGAAGGAAAAGCATTTGTCCACTGCTTGTTGGGGCCCGTGGAGTCTGTGCTCAGGAGAAGCTGAGGGACTTGCATTCGGTGTTTGGAGGTCCTGAGCATCTCGCCGACACTGCGGTTGAGAATACTTGTCCAGGTGTTCCTTCCTCTGCTCGGGTTTGTCCCAGGAAAGTGCAGAAAGGTCCCTGGAAATCCAGGTTTCGGTCAGTCAGTCAGAAACAGAGGTCCTTGATTATCCTTGGTGTAAAAGCATGAACGAGGGACAACCTAGGACCCCAGGGTGTGTGAGGACACACAGGTAGCCTAGGACCCCGGAAGGTGTGAGGAAAGGGATAACCCAGGACTTCAGAAGTGGGGGTTGGGGGA